GTCGCACCTCGGGAATGTTAGAAATCTTGGGGCGTGACAGCCTGGTTTCGGGTCGCTAACGAGCCTGATAGCGAGCCCCGGGCCCCGAGTGGGCCAAAAAAAGGCCCTGATTTTGTGCACCGGGCTGGGGTGACCCTGCAAGCCCGAGAAAGCCTCATTTGGCCTCGATAAGCCCGGCCCAAATAACTCCCAGCCCAGCCCATTTAGCATGCATTAAATTTTTTTTTCCCCCTAAAATCCACACTTCAAAATTTAATTTTTTGTAGTTAGGCAAAATAAATATATGCTCAAATATTTTTTAGAAAATTTAAAACTCATTCTCGCTCCTTACAAAATAAATCTCTCTTTTCTCTCTCAAAACTCATTCTCTCTCTAGAAACCCAATCTCTCTCTAGAAATGTATTCTCTCTAAAAACCCAATCACTCTCTCTCTAAAAACTCAATCTCTCTTACTAATTGTAAAACTCATTCTCTCTCTAGAAACCCAATCTCTCTAGTCTCCCTAAAAATTAATGTTCTCTCTCTAGAAACCTAATATCTCATTCTCTCAAAAAACCCAATCTCGCTTTCTCTCTCTAAAAACCATTCTCTCTAGAAACCCAACCTCTCCTCTCTCAATCCCATTCACTCTCTAGAAACCCAATCTCCCTTTCTCTCTCCAAAAAATATTTTAGCATATGTTTTTTTGGCCTACTATCAATAAAAATTTGAAGAGTAAGAAGAAACATTAATAAAAGGTTTTTTAATGGGCCGGACCAAGGCCCAGACCAATAGAGCCTCTATGGGCTGCTAACGGCCCGAGCATCACTCGCACTTTTCTGGCCGGGCCAGTCCTGAATACCGTTTTTCAAATATTGCATCCAAATTCAATAGTGTTTTAGAAACTTGTATTATACATTTTTAAGCTAAATCATTCCACATTTTTAGCTGATTTGTTGTTGCCCCTCCTATTGAACCTAATTTCTCGCCATTAATGGCTCCCTCTATAACTTTTCAGTCTCCTCTACAACTCCCATTGTTTGAGATGATCCTTTCCCCAAATTTAGCTGATTCCTCACCATTAATGGCCACCGTTTAATCTTCTTCTTCAATTCTCCACTTTTTAAGCTGATTTTTCCCAACTTTACGCTGATTTCTCCATTAATGTTCACTGGTCAATCTTCCTTTTCCAGGGTTTCGTACCTATGAATCCCGCTGCTTCCTCATTGGCTTTATTTTTCTGTGATTCCTATTTAAATTAGCCGGATTCCTGTTATTGATTCATCAATTTTCACAAGCTATAATTAGGTTTTTTGCCTAAGGTAATTGGTACTTAGATCCATTGATCCTCTTTGAATCTGTGTCATTCTCTCAACTTTATTTTTTTTGATTTGGAATGACAGTAATTGTTGTTCATTTATCTCTTTTCCTGATTTTTCTATTACATTAAAAGCCAAATTTCAAAAGCCTCTGCTTTTTTACTGAATTTGCCATAAATTTTCTGCCATTGTTTAGGACAAAATTTCCTTGGATTGACGATAGTTTTTTAATATCATTGTCCAAGAAGAATTGATTTTTAGCTATGTTTTCTCAGTTCGCGTTTATTGTTCTTATCCAAGAAGATGGCTTCAGATGAGAAAATCGAAAAAAATTCCTCTGCATTTTCTTCTTCCACTGATCAAACCTGACATCGCATTCACTACAAACAGGCCTTAACGGGCCTAAATGGGATACTGGGCAGTGTCCTGGTCGGGCCCTGTCGGGCCGGGCTGAGTTGATTCCAGGCTTTTTTGGGCTCCGAACCAGGCCAGACCCGACCCGTTGGCAGCCCTACCCCCTTAATAAGTTTATTAATGGGGCTTATGCTTTTTGGGGGGAATTGGAGGCCTAAAAAAGGAAAATTACTTTTTGCCCTTGGCCTTCAGCCTTTTTCCACCGTCGGCCAACTTGTTCCAAGGAACCGCCTTGAGACGAACGCCTAAGCAGCGCCTTGGCCACCTAGGCTGGTGCCTAGGAGCAAGGATGCCTAAGGGACCCACCTAGGCATTTTGGCTGCCCGGCTGCCTAAGCGGCTACCTAGGCAGGCGAGCGGCCAAATTTTCGAGCAATGTTACTCCTAAATTGAGTCCTTTATGGGTAAATCCTAAATTGAGTCCTCGGAATCATTGAACAAAAAGCTACAAACATATCAATAAAAAATAAGAAATATCAAAACACAACAAAATTTCGTGTTCCAAACAATTATTGTCAGAACTAACCTCGTGGAAGTGAAACCTCCGTCGATGCTTTACAATCCCCATGGTGGCATTATAAAACATATCCATTAGCATTGTCTTTCCTACATTGTTATGAGAATGAACATTAAATGCAAAGAATGCAAGGGAAATTCTGAAACCCACATAACATAATGCTCCATGAAATAAAATGCAACACAAATAAATATTAGAAAACTATTGAAGCAATTGAGCTCAAATTGTCCGAACATAAGAAATAATACATGAAAAATATGGTGCGAAAAATGATACGTGTGAATATTCTGATGAGGGGTTGTATGCAGGAATGTGTGTGTGTGGGAAAAAATATTATATCAGACCATGCGCTTATAGTGCACGTATGTACATACATACACAATGCAGGATGGGTTGATTCATACTTTTATTGGTCCTTAATTAAATATCAGGGATGCATTTTTTGGGGTTTATTTTAGGTCTTTTAGGTATTATGGGGATTCTAGGGCTAGTTTGGGGAAGTAGTTAGGTCATTGTGCAATTACTTGCTTGTAGAGGGGTAAAGTGTCATTTCATTTTCGATTTGGTTAGGATTTCATTTTGGATCAGAATTAGCGTTTTCTAAAGAGTCGAGTTACATTTTAGTCTAACATAGAGGTTAATGGAAGGTTTTAGTTTAGAGCTGGATATTATTTGTTTTGAGAGTTATGGTTTCACCAGAGCTATAAAACATGGCTTGTGAGCTTCCACCATTATTCTCAGTTATTTGAACTCTTTTGTGAATTATGCACAATGTTAGTTGGTAGCAGGGCACGTTTGTTCTCAAAATGCGTGAGGATCTAATGCCAGTTCAAGTGATGGCTGTTAAAGGAAATTGAGTTCGTGGTGGTGGTGTCGAAGTTACATGGAAGGAACTCAATGATATGAAAAGGAGAATTGAGGAATTTGGGTACGAAGTACGTCAAAATGTAGGAATCGAAGGAGGTGCACAAGGTGCATCCAATCCACTCTGGTCGATGTTCAGTCACTCATGAAAATGGTACATTTAAATGACAGTTGTGGATCAGATTATGCAAATATTAATTTGCTTCACAACCAGAGAAGAGAATCTCACTGTATTTTGAGGACAGATTGTGTTTTCCGATTTCAAAATTGAATAACTGTTTTTTGATCCACGGATGATCCTATCTTTGATGAAGACCCCGAGATTGCCCTAATATATGATGAGTAGCTAAATGAAGAACTCGATTTAGGCCAAGTCCTCATGTACAAATTTTGAGGAGAAAGACATTGTAGATTACGACAAATCACCTATATACGATGATGAAACCCTAAAATTAGTCATGAATAACAAGGTAATTAAGATAGTATGGAGAAGAAGATTAGAGTTGTGGTTGTTCCTTTAGTTTGGAAGAGCTGAGGTTTTCTATGACAATCACTAAGATATTTGGTGAGGATGACGAGGACAGGTTTTCCAACTCATCTAGAGATGAAGAGGGAGTTTCAATGGATATGGCCATTTGTTTCAAGGTTGAAGCTTAAGCGGACATGAGGACTCAGTTTAGAGAGAATGATAATCTGGCAAAGGTAAGGATTCAGCTCGAATTAGAAGTCCATGCACAGGAGAAAGGAAAAGATGATGATGGAGCTCCATCGAATCTCAAATTCTCTAGACTCTTTGGTAATGGATTCGTGACAAATGGTGCCTACCAAGCGGTTGATGATATTTCTCTTGATAATGAGATTCAGGCACTATATGAGGCGATTTTGAACATTGTACCTTCCAATGGCTATAATTTTCGCTAGTTACTAAGAATTGCAATTATTGGCACTTGTTTGAAAGCTATTTGAGAGCTTTATGTGTCTGAATAGCAATGATGCCAACTGATTTCATTTAAAAAAAAAAATCTAAAAATGACCTTGCAAGTGTTTGAAGTTTGCAGTGCACAAAATTTCAAGGTAATTGAATTAGATAAGTTTGCATCAACTCCTCAATATACATATCATCTATTTCTTGAGGACTTCTCATTAACAGCAACACTCTTAGCGCAAGAAACGAATACAAGGTCTGAAGTAAATTATGGCTTTGATGAAGCATATATACTAGCTCAGCTCAAAACTCAAGAAGGAATCTTCTCCAACTAGGGGAGTTTTATGTAAGACAAGTTGATTTATGTTATTTATTTTTCTTTATTTAATTTTAGAGATGTATTTTTAAGTTCTTTTACAATTTAATTTTTAGGGGTTTCTGAATTTTGTAGGGATTTTAGGCTAGTTTGGAATGTAAAAAGGGTAAAAGTGTTATTCCGTGTTCAATTTTAGTAAGGAGTTCATTATATTAGAATTAGAGGTCTGAGGGTCAAAGTTACATTTTAGTCTGCAAATAGAGGCTAATAGAGGGTTTTGATTAGAAGTTGGATATTATTTGTTTCAAGAACCTTGGTTTTCAGTGTTTCAAAAACACGGTCAGCCCCGTGCTTAGGCACCCACCTGGACGCGTGGCGGACCCTAGGCCACACACCAAAGCTTGGAAAGAGCCCCATGCCTAGTCCTAGGTGGGCACCCAGGGCCTGCACTTTTTTTTGTGCACTTTGGTTCTTTTTAACGCACTTGTTTCTCTTGAGAGGCCTTCGGTGGCATTCTAAACCCCCAAAGTGAATTTAAGCCCCAAATCTATTGATTTTGAGATCCCTGTGAATCAGAAAAAAATAGAAATAATAATAAAATAAAATCTGAGATTGCAAGAAAAATCTGGACTATTGGTTTTGTACTTTTGTAAGTTTGTTGAAACTTGGAGTCCATGTGATTATGGAATATGGATAATTGGAGACTAATACTATAATAAACTTTGGACTTTTTAAGTTTTTTCACTAAATTGTCTATAATTTGAAGTTTTGAACATGTTTATTCTTAACATGGGATATGTTTGTATAAAAAAGGTTAGCTACAATCCATATAAATGCAAAAAATTGAAAAGTAACATAAAGTATGTCGCATATATGTATGTTTGGAAATCACAATTGTGAATATATCTGCAAAATTTTCACTACAGGGCACCCGAGGTTCTAAGCGCCGGCCTAGGCACTAGGCACCAAGCTGGCCGACTTGTGTCTTTTAAAATGTTGCTGGTTTCACCAAAGAGCTATGTAGCTTGGCCTGTAAGCTTCCGCGTTTATTTTCGATAAAATTTTCAGTTCTTTGATCTCTTTTTGTGAATTCTCCACTACGATAGTATTGTCTGTGTACGTGTGCATATATACATACACACACACATGTAAGAGGGTTTGTGGAAGAAGAATATGTAAGTTGGCTGGATGATCGAGTGGTGAAAGCCCAAAACATATGAAACAATGGATTAAAGAATCAGGAGAGGTAAAAGTACAGTTGAAGTCAGATACTCCCAGTTGAAAATCCACGGAAAGTCACATCCCCTCTCTCTCTTCCCCCAAACCTTTCTCTCTATCCCTTAGAATGCTTCAGCTCTTTGCTGTGATCAATCTGTTTGGAATTAATCCATTGGTTCATATTTTTGGACTTCTACTACTCCTTAATCATGGTTTAGAGAACGTTTAATAATGACGTGAAGCCAAATATATGCTAATTACCACTTCCAACACTCCCATATAAGTACAATCCTTTGGGAGCAGCTGGTGCAATAGGACGGCGGCCAACAAGTGAGTCCAGCTTTTTCTCTCGGTTCAGGTAGGAAACCATCTTTCCCACACCTGGCTCTGCACCCTCTCTCCTCAGACAGAAAAACAGGAGAAATTTTATCAATATCTCATGGACAATGAGAAAATTATACCACATTCAAATAAGAATGTTTTAATAACCAATCTTGAAACAATCCAAAGATTATGAATGTACTGATTTGGACAGATGAAAACAAAAGCAGAATTAGAGTAGCCTAATATTCTCCAGTTTAGGTAACTTTCAACAGTTCAACCAAATAATTTAAACCACCCACGACAAAGCTTGCAAATAAATATGTGAGGTCAGAACTAAACATTATAACAATCTTAAAGTGTGTTACTTATCCAGTTTTGTGCACATAAATCTGGAAGCAATTGCTTCAGTACTTCTAGTAATACTCCAAAAAAGTCTAAAGAGTTTAACTTCGTGCATTCCCGACGGTCACATTCTAAGGAGATATGGTATCATTAACAATTTGCTCAAATGTTTTCCATCAAATTAAAAATTTGCAGCTCAAAAGTTTAGACAGGGCTACAAAAAAAAACGACAACATACTCCTTAGCATGCATATTCTGCATACATATGATTCTTAATATCTCACAGTACTAGAAATCTTGCTACAACACCTACACCAGCCAGATGTAGCCCATGACAAAGTATAACACCTCAGGAATCCAATATATACCCAGTGAGATAGATTGCATTGAAGGTGTGAGAGAACCTATAACAGAAGCCTGACAACAGTCCTGCTGTGATATAAGGGAGCAATTGACCAAGAGTGTCACTTGAGGGAACAACTTGGAACGTAAGGCATAGCCCAAACAAGAATGGAACTGTTGCAGCATAAGCTATAATGTCATCATCATCATCATCATCATCATCATCCAAGCTATACATATATATCTATACCTATATCTATATCTATATCTATATATATATATATGAAAACCCTTAAAAACACCATGGAGCGAAAATGGATAGTGATTTTTCCCTGCAATGGCTCTCGTAGAGCCATTTCGGTTTAGCATGAAAGTCGCAACAGCTCTCGTAGAGCCATTGCGGTTTCGTGTGAAAAATCAACCGCACCAAACATAGCATGTCCGGTGCAGTCGATTTATCTATGCCATCCTAAAAAATCAGATGACACCGAACCTATGGGCAAAAACATTGTTCATTTTCGCCCATAGGCGTTGTGTAGAGGCTTCTTATATATATATATATCCAACAAACACACATGAAAACAGCATTTACACAAAAAGGAGCAGCAATTGATGTGAAGTAGGTCTACAAGGATTGGCTCCTACATGAATGTGACATGTGAAGTGGACACAAAAAGAAAGTGTTTAGGTACAATTCACAATTCTGATTAGGATAGGATTTAAAAGTTTTTAAGGTTTTAAGATTCAAACAAAGATTAGGACAAGAGGGTTCTGGGGCTTATGTTTATTAATGGTGTAGAATTGAATAATACGATGTCTAACTTAAGTAAAAGTCAGTTTAGGGTTATGGTGGAGTTTGGATGGGTTATGGCAAGGTTACAGATAGGTTTTAAGGTTTCCTAGGGGTCAAGCTTGCTGGAATTTAGCATGTTCAGCAAAATAAGAGGATGAGAAAATAGATTTTAGGGTTCAATTATGGCGAATGTAGGGATCAAACTTCAATTTTCGGGCTACCGAGGGTAAGTATGTGATTAGGATAGTGTTGGTGCTAGCTTAACTGGGGTTCACCTAGAGTTTGCCTAGGGTGTATAGAAGGTTTGAAGGGGTGGTAAATTTTGTTTAGAGATAGGTGGGATGCATTCATTTAAGAAGAGGAAGAAGAAGGCTCTAACTTGTTGGGCAGACTCTCGCAATCTTAAGCTAGAGTTGTAGAATCACTCTTTCCACTAAAAAGAGTTGAAGAATTTCTCCAGTGGTAAGGAATCAGTCCTCCAAAGATGACCTCCCACCTCCAAAAGAAAGAGCCCAATCTTTAGTCTCAATTTCAACTTCTAATGAGTTAGCCATAGGCCTAAATGAGTATTTATAGAGAGTTCCAAGTTCTATTTTCCTTGTACTTTTGTTTGAAGAAGTTAGTTATTTACCTTATACTTTTGCTCTTAAGAGCACGAAAAACAAACTTCTGGAGTTTCTAGGAAACTATCCAACTCAAAGGTTTCATATGTAGCTAGGATTGGAACCTCACTTTCTAAATACCCAATAACTTAAAGAAACTAAAATTAAAACTCAATTAGAACAAGGGCTAAATAATGGAAAGAATCATACTTGGTTAGGATTGGCTACGGGCTGAGCCTCAACCCCACCTGGATCCCTATAGGGCTAGCTTGAGCTCGGCATGGCCAGGACTGGACAAGGCTGACCTAATAGACTGAAAGAGAAAAAAGAAAAGAAAAAATAACGAAAAAAATGGCAAGGTAGGGCTGGGTCTGGGCAGTCCTATAATCGACCTAGCTCAAGCAGCCAGCCCAAACCTCTAGCCATGGTGGTCATGACCTAGCCCAGCCCTTGGGCCACATTTTAGACCACGCCAACCAGCCCTATGCTTAGTAAATAAAATTCGTCATTGATTTTTCCCGCAAGTTTCAACCATGCTATGAAGCCTAAAAAAATCCAAATTACCTGAAAAACCATAGACATATGGGTCTTAGATCTTAAGGAGATACTGGATATCAGCTTTGAACCGCCCCATATTGACATGCGAATGGAACGCTATAACTTTAGAAAGTGGTGGTCTAATCGTGAAGTTCCATTAGAATTCACAAATTGTTGAAACAAATTAGGAAAAACTACAAACGGACACATTTTGGCACCTTTTAGTATGATATGGGGCATTGTTTTGAAAAGATTATGTAGAAACCACCCCAACCCTGCGGCCTTTTGTCTTCTCGAATTGTCCACATGTCCAACATTTCCAACACCAAACAGGTGGGAAATCCCGCAAGTTTTCTATTTTTATTTTACCCAGGACCTGTCCGATATAAGGAACACCGAGTAAACGTATTGTTTGGTGTTTTCAATGTCGAACAGCCGAACTACCTAAGTGTTCGGTGTTAGAAATATCAGACTTATCATAATCAATAATAGAATCTAAGTAGTGTAATAGAATTTAGTATACTAGACTTTTTTTTTATTCTAAAATATTTAATAGATAGTGCTATTCAAGTACTAAAATATTTCTTCTAATCATAGAATAGAACTAGAATTTCTATTCTATGATTTTAGATTTTTAATTTAAACTTTAATTAGATTTTTAATTATATTTTATTTCATTTTATTTTTCTAAGTTTAGAATTACAATATAAAACTTTATCTAAATAGAATAGAAAAAAAAAATCAAAATGTAGAAATAGAAAATTAGAAATAAAAAAGTAAAGGATCAAACAAAAGATAAAGGAAAATCCCTTTTTAATAAAATACATTCAAATACAAATAGCAATATATAAGATAAGAAATAAGTAAAATAAATTAAATTACATAAATTCTATTATACTAAAGAACTATTAAGGATTTAAATAATAATAATTACTTATAATAAGTCCAATATTTCTAACACTAGAGACCTTAGGAAGTTGGGCTGCCCCATATTAGAAACCCCGAACAGGACAACCCATAAGGTTGTTCAGTGCTCTTGATATGGAAGAATAAAAGAAAAATAGAAAACATGCGGGACATCCCGCCTGTCCGGTATTGGAAATGTCTAATAGGTGGGCAATTATGGAAAAAAAAGGGCCACAGGATGGGAGTGACCTCCGCATAATTTTTGCAAAAAAATTGCCCCATATGTAATTTTTCGTAGGAATTATAAGGCCAAAATGTGTCCGTACGTAATGTCTCCTAGGAATTACAAGGAACAAACTTTGAAGGAGACGAATATGTATGCATTCCTGCTCTTGCTCCAGTTGGAAAGCATCAGCAAATTACTGATGCGAACATTTTCAAATATAATAAACCAAAAAGCTCCCTGTGAGGATGCAAAAATAAAAGAGCAAGGGATGGCTCCCTACAAAATCAATCAAGTAAGCAAATGTCAGATAGGAAGAACCTTCATGAAAGACAGATAATGATCACGATCTGATATCAAATGAATGTACAAGTTGTTGAGCTATGAATACAAACACATGTAAATCGCACATAGCATATAATTTCTCTCAAATAAAGTGATAATCAAACCTCACTAGGCTCACAAAAGTAACATTTACAGCTAGTGTGTTTAATATGACAAAAATTCGTTCCCAAATAGTTGGGATAGGGCTCTAATGATAAGGATGTTGAAAATTCATTCTCATTTCATAGTGAGACATGCAAATTATGCATAAACATGCCAATCATTTTTCTGGCATGATTAATGTCTAGCATTTCTTTGTATACACTGCAACCAGATTCTTTAATGACTACCAATATGCATTGTTGTTTCATAAAGTGACAGTTTAATGTCACATGACATGTCTAGATTCTAGATAAATGGTGGGAGAATTTGGTGGAAGGTCTACTCACCTAAACAGAACGGCTAAGTTGAAGGGACCTTTCTCTAAGATGAGTCATGTCTTGAGAGTTTTACAATGCCAAAATGTCATCCGTAGCCAGTTATATAAGAAACTTGCAAATTGGACATTGACACACAAATTGTTTATTGCTTCATTATTACATGTATTGGAATGCTCAACAAAACTAATTATAAATAACACAAAGTTGCAGTATGCAATGAAATAATTAACACAAATAAAATACCAGCTTCTACAAGTTTCATGTAAAAGAAACTGCACAGATAATTCATTGCTTCACTACTAAGCACACCATATATCTGTATTAATAACTGAAATCAGCACCAAGCCACCTGTGCCATGGGCCAGCTAGTCTTCATTTATGACTTGTGGAATGGCATTCACTGCCCTCTTGATACCAAATTTTCACAAAAAGTTGAATATTTGGGTTTTCTGTACCCATTTGAATATCAATGTAGTACCCTAAAAACATCCAATATCAACTTAAAAGAACATTCAAACTGTTAAAGCTTTCCATAGATTACAAGACCAAGGCCATAAGTTATCAAAATGGAACTAGACGTACGAATACTCATCTGGAATTGTTATAAAAGTTCATCTCTTTTACAAAATAGCTGACAAATGGGTTAAAAGGTTGACACTAAATTTATAGGCCAAAGAGAACTGCCACCATCAATATGCCATGATTTATAATCACAATATGGTAAGATACTTACCCAAAAAAAGGAACTGACCGTAAGATAAACTTGTTAACCAGCCCACTCCGATGTCTTTTTACTGTTTGCAATAAATCACCCTGTTGCTTAAGTTCAGCTTCCTGCATTAACAACCTATGCCTCTCCTCTTCTCTCCTCTTCTCCCATTGACTCAATTTAATCTAGAAAGTGTAGAAGGGGTTATAAAATTCATGCCAAGAGAAGCTAAGATGTGTACTCTTGCATTTGCAGGTGTGCTAGTTATCACATACATGATATTCCTGCATATCCTTCTCATATTCCCCCAACTTTATGAGTAGTCCCTCTAATTCAGAAGCTACCCTCTCTTGGTAACGATCATACTGAAGCTTCCCTTTATTAACCATAGCTCTATACAGTGACAATGGACCTGGTACATATGAAACAAGAATAAAACAGGCAAATGAAATAAGCAGCATAATCAAACCTGCAAGAAAGTTTAAATATAGAAACTTGTCCATGCATCCCTGTTCCCTTTTATTCCATGAGTTCAAACCAGGAAAATTTCTTGACAGGTTGGGAAACCAACCAAAATCACTAGAAAGTAGAAACAAATAGTACCTCCATTTCAATATCACTACAAAGTGATCAACAGTCTCTTTTGATATCACAAAAGATTTCTATAATTTTTCGGATGGTATGGAAACCTAGATTCATTCAAAGGAGCTAATGTCTTTAATTGCACTTCTACTAGCAGCTTCAATTAGGTCAAATAAGAAAAATTCTTCAAATACTCGAGCATTTCAAGAAAGCGTGTGATTTTTATGGGGAAATAAACATAGAAAAATACAAAATAGGAAATTAAGAAAAGTCCAATTAAATTATCACTTTTTACCAATATCGACTAAACTCTAATCAATCAACTTATAACGTTAAGGGAATTTAAAGTATATATTCCTTAATTTTGGTGGTATTAAAAAATTTCCCCATTTTTCATAGTTTGCACTCATGGCACTTTTTTTTTCCTTTTTTTTTTTTTTCCGAAATACACCCTGGTTCAGAACTCCTAGTGAACCAGGGTGTTTATTTGACCAAGACTTGTTCGAAACTTCAAGTTCCAAACCAATTTTTTCTAAGCCAATCTCTTGATCAGAAGAAAAGACCCTGGGACTTGGGAATTCGAAAATGGAAGTATTTTTGGCAAAATATAAAAATAAACGATATGAGCGTGAAATATGAGAAATGAGGGACATTTTTACATGCCGCAAAAGTTAAAGGTCATTTACGTGAATTTCCCTAAAATTAAAAGATTTATTAAGATCACTTCAATGAGTTCAACCAATCAATATTCATTATTCTTCATTATTCATCTGCCATACTAAAGTTTTACCACGCACCATCACACCAATATTCACAATTCTGCGTTCACATCCATCAACCATGATAAATGCAAAATAATATGTACATCCATAACACTGAATCCAAAACCCAATACAATGTTGCAAACAAACACAAATCTCAAACTTGAAATATCCTAAATTATTTATTAATCATATAAGCGATATTTCATTGCTGATCATAATTCAATAAAACTACTAGCAAGAAGCCAATCAAAAAGATTTCAGGCCATAATTCAGTAAATACAAAGAATTAAGGTTTTCATATGACCAATACACCCCAAACCCTTCACCTAATTCACCAGCAATCCAGTATGAACAGTAAAAGCAAAGCTCCGCATTTAATCAACCCATTACCTGGAGACATTTCAGGAAAGGATGACTCGCTGCAATGACAGAAAACCCTAATCCTCTGACATTTTGGAGATCCATTGCTTAAGATCCTATGATTTTGCAGAAACTGAAGCGAGCAGGCAGAGAAAGCAGAGCACGAAAGCCTCCGCATTCTCGCATCAAAGAAACGCAAATGATGCCTCGGATCCCTTTATATGTGCTTCCACGTGTCGACATTACAGGATGCCACGTGGTTGAATTGTTGTCCCCCACGAGGCGTACGCAGTAACTGCGCGAATGTCCCGTCCCAACCCGACCCAACAATGTATAATTTAAGACCAAAACTCCCGGACCTGAATCCGACCGGTTCTTGGCCATAATAAAAACTACGTTAACATTTCATGATCATCATCTTTACAAGTTTTTTTCTAGCCATCAACTACATTAATTAATTCGTGTCCTATCATTTTGCCCTATTAAGAGACTTTTGCTCTATTATTTTATATATTTTATATTAAATTAATCGTGTCCCATCATTTTGCTTTATTAAGAGACTTTTTGCTCTATTATTTTATATTACATAATTAATATTATTCTTATTAAGGCGTACCTCAGAAACGACGTGTTGTACCAAAACTGGGTATAGTGAGAAATGAGCCAGGGGTAGCTAGGGTGTTATCCTAAAGCGACGCGTCAGAGCATTGCCCAATTGCAGTGAAAAATAGGCAAGGGTCCCCTCGACATCGTGGACGAACGCGTGTAAATAAGCTAGTCTAAGATCATAGGATTCATTTAGCCATATGAAATATAGGGATACTTACAGGTAAGGAGTATGGAGTTTGTGGATACAATGAGACGCAGGAGAGAAACATAGTCCGTCTACAAGAAATTAAATGGAAATGAGAAAAGGCTAAAGAAATAGATGGGTATAAACTTTGGTATACAAAAAAAGAAAATGATAGAAATGATGTAGGCATAATAGTAGACAAAGATTTAAAAGATAAAGTCAAAAAAATAGGTAATAGACTCCTATTAATGAAAACAAAAATTATCAGAAATATACTTAATTTCCGTCTATTTAGATATAAAAAAAAAACTATCAACTTTCATAAACCTCATCCACACCCTTTTTTTTCAATTTTAGGCATTTTTTTACCAAAATAACCTTCAAGGTAATCGTATTACCGTGAAGCACCATTATAGTACTTTAAGTACCGTAGTGAATGCCGCATTTTATATGGTACTTAAAACACCTTGAAGAAATCTTTTCTTATTACAATACTCATATTACCGTAATACTACTTAGGCATCCTTGCGATATTTTAAGTGTTGTAACCTTATTGATGTTTTATACAGTACAAAAATAACTGTGATTATTTCTAAACTTTTCCACACTTTTTCACGATTTTAGTCATCACAGACCTTATTTTCTCATCCCACTCTCTCTAACCCCTCCTAAGAAACCTATTTTTCCATCCCATTCTCTCAGGCCCCACAACTCTTTTCCTTAGCCTCCTCTCTCTCTCTCTCTCTTCCTTAGCCTCCTCTCTCTCTCTCTTCCTTATCCTCCTTTCTCTTTAATCTCTCATCCATTTTCCATCATCTCCTTCTATTTCGTAATATTTGAACGACGTCTCCATTTTCCATTATCCATTTTTTTAGGGGATCCCATCCTTCGACCAAACAAAGGCTCACTTATCAAAGTAATTATGCCCAAAGTATCATGTCTATTAGGTATATTGACCCAAGTTACTATGTGACAAGAATATGGTATGTATTGACGATGATGACCATATTGCAAATATGATAGAAGGGTCTTCTCCCATTACTGTGTACATATCAGACAAACTTATTGAGTCGGACTCCACCAAATATCGACCGCCAACAATTCTCGATAATGGACCATCAAGACTGGCCATGTAAGAATTTTGCAATGAAATTTATTTTTTATTTGATAATATTTTTAGTGCAGATGTTATGGGTTAGGATAATTCTCACTTGTTCTTCTAATATTTTTTCGACAGTGGTACCCAACCAAAATAAGTAGTTCAGAGTGAAGATGAGCAAGATTTAGAAATCGAGTGTCATATCAACAACATCGATCTGTTAGAAAGCCCCATCAGGATTGACAGTTACAAAGTTGTACTTCAACATGGTCAAGATTTTGATGACATATAAGCATGCCTTAATCTCCTTATTGATTATGTCATATCACAAAACTTCAATGTAAAGTTTGTAAAAAGCTATAAGAGATGAGTATGAACGAGGTATGCTGCAAATGGGTGTTCATAGCTAGTGAGTTGTTGGAGGGTTAATACAACAAACTTCTTCAAGGTGAAGAACTTTGTAAACGTGCTCTCTTGTGCTGACGCAATATGCATGGTTCATCCCTTGCTGGAAGCTATTGGGTGGCAAGTAAGATAAAAAACTGTTTGAATGATATACCCAATCTAACACCTGGATATGTTATTAATGATGTACAACGTGATCATAGTGTCACACTATCTTACCATCAAGCATGGCAGGTCAAAGAGGTCATACAAAGGATAAATGACAGTTCTCATATGAAGGCATACAATGATCTCACCAAGTAACTGCATAAGATCCGAATCACAAACTTTGGAACCGTAATGATTATTCAGACATATAATCATGATAGGTTTGAACGTGTGTTTATAACCAATCGTCCATGTTTGTATGGTTTTATGTATGGTTGCAGGCCATTGATGGGACTAGATGAGACTTTTTTGAAAGGAAGATACAGATGGATACTATTGGCTACAATTGGGATAGATGTGAATGAAAATATATTTTTCAGAAAATATGCGGTGGTTGAGAGTGAAAATACACCAAGTTGGATTTGGTTTCTAAAGCTTCTTAATGAGCAATTTCAGGAGATGCCTGATTTGCCAGCTTTGTCTATTGTATCAGATCGTCAAAAACGGTTGCAAGTCGCAATTGAAAAAGTATTCCCAACCAATGAGCAAGGGTATTGTATGTGTCACCTAACTGATAACTTCAAAAAGAAATTTAGAAATTTGGCGCTTACAAGACTTTATTGGAAAGCAGCACGTGCAATAACTGTATCAAGTTTTGATGAGTACATGTCAAAGATTAATAGTGAAAATGCTGAGGCCTATGACTGGATCGTGAAACAACATCCAAAAACTTGGGTAAACACATATTTTCAGGGATGTAGATACAATGATTTGACATAGAACATCTCCGAATCATTTAACAAGTGGATATTAAAGGCTCGGGAGAAGCTCCTCATTAAACTCCTTGAATGCCTAAGGGTTAAGCTCATGGGAAAATTTGCTAAGAAGATAATCAAGTCTCTAAAATAAAGCGGCATGATAATCAAGTCCCTAGAATAGAGCGGCACACTTACACCTAAGGCCCAAAAGGTAATAAATGAGAGGAATGATAAGTCCAGATTCCTTTATAGTCATATGGGCACATGATGGTATATATAAGATCAATGCAGAAAAGAAATATGTTGTTGATCTGGCGAGACATACATGTACATGTTAGGTGTGGTAGGTTGGTGGGTTGAAGTGCAATCAAGCGATCACCGCTATAGATCATAGGCATCAAGACGTTACAGAATATTCCGGCTTTTATTTCAAAATGGATATGTACCCTAGAGCATATTCCCTTTCCTCTATGCCTGATGCACTTGAGTTGTTAAAGATTATTTATACAACAGTATTACCACCAGCTGCAAGGCGAACCACGAGTCGGCCAAAGAAACGGTGCAGACAAACAGAGTACAAAGAGACTAGGCCTCGTAAGTGTAACCGCTGTGGGGATGTGACCCATAACAGGGAAACATGCAAATTAAGTATTTAAAATGATGTAAAGAGGCTAGTAGTGTCAATTGATCTTTTTTTATATGTATTTTTTGTTATCTGAATTTGTAAAGAGGTCAGTAGTGTCAGTTGATCTTTTTTTATATGCCTTTTTGTTATCTGAATTTGTAAAGAGGCTTATATTGCTTTTTGATATCGTTTTTTGTTCAATTTATGGAATCTCTAAAGTTGATTTTGATGTTATAGAGTGCCTATACAATTTTGAGATTTTTCATTTCATCCAAGGCTCTAATAAAAATCTTGAATTCAACTTCAGTTTCAATGAGTTAAAAAAAATTGTGCTAAAGTCGTTACCGTCTTTTTTTGTACTGTAATGTCCAGCTTTATAATTACGATAAAAAAAAGACCGTAGTGAGCATTACAGTCTTTTCTATACTGTAATAATCAATTATAGCATTACGGTAGTTTCGAGACTGTAATGCTTGAAAGCATTATGGTCTTTTGTCTACTGTAATGAACACCTATAGCATTACAGTACTTTCAAGACCGTAATGCTCAAAAACTCCAGAAGGTATGCAGTAGTTTTCAAGCATTATGGTCTTGAAAGTACCGTAATACTATAACTGATTATTATGGTATATAAAAGATCGTACTAAGTATTACAGTCTTCTTTCTACCGTAATGATTAGTTTTATCATTACGGTACTTTCAAAATCGTAATGCTCAACAACTCCATAAGGTTTGTAGTAGTTTTTGGGCATTGCTGTCTTGAAAGTATCGTGATGTTATAGTTAAAGACCGTAATAAGCTTACGGTCTTCTTTCTGTTGTAATCATCAGTTTTAGCATTATGGTACTTTTAAGACCATAATGCTCAAAAACTCCAAAAGGTTTTCCAGTAGTTTTTTAGCATTACGATCTTGATAGTACCATAATTGCTCAATGCTATAACTGATTATTGTGGTAGAGAAAATACCATAATGAGCATTACGATCTTTTTTTTGCTGTAATTATAAAACAAGGCATTACTGTATAAAAAAAAACAAAAAAACTTTAATGACTTTAACGCACTTTTAAAAAAAATTGAACAAGTTTACTTGTGAAGTATGTGAATAAGTCTTCTTTTCTGCAGTATGTAAGAAGTTTACTTGTTCAAGAGTGTGAAATTTGATAGCTTGCATATGTCACAGAGTTCGAGAAAATTTGACATCCAATGGTCAAGATAATTTGAACTTTGAAGTTACATCTGATTCCAATAAGCATATAAGATGCAAAGCAATGTTATAAACTCATTGAACCAATAAAACACAAATATATAAAAATATGCAAATATCACAAAATATTGAAACAACAACTTTTCATAAATATCACACATCACAAAAATGCCAAAAAATCAATTGTAGTCACTACTAGCCTCTTTACACAGTATAGGCACTATTGGCCTCTATAAAAAAAAAAAACATAAAATACAAATCAACTTGAACGCTTTCATCGTGTTGCCGTCTTCTAACCCCACGGTGGCTACTCAAATTGTATTGTATTTGAGGAGCTATTTTCCTGTCTACCTCTGCGATGACATAACTGTCATCTAGGCTCCTCTGGTTGAACTAGTATGGGGATAGGTTGTGTATTACTTGGCCCCTCATCTGGTCGAGAAGGGAGCCATACTGAAACGCTATCTTCTATCTCCCCTTCCAGCTCCATTTCCTCAGAGGCATCCTCATCCTCTCTCATCTCCTCCCCTACAGCTTTTGGGTCGTATAATTTCAAAGAATCTAATCTCTCCCCAATTAGGTCCTAATTCCTTGAATTGTAACCTTGATGTACAAGTTATTTTGTATGACTGATGTCCCTAAGCTACATCAAGTCATATGAAAATAGACGATTAAGACTTCTAAAATTAAAGAGTCGTGAATAAAATAGTGTTAGTTCTAAAATATTCTTACTATTCTATCTTCATCATGATAACTTCGATGTATGAATTTGGATGAACGTTTCCTAAATGGATTATGGATTAAGGGCTTAGTCCTTAGCATGTACCACTCGATGTATTCTTGTATCATCTTCCATTGAACATGTCATCTGCTGCCTGACATGTATAATCTATCTCAAGTCAAAGATCATTGTCCTTTTGGGTACAAAATATCACGGGTTCAAATCCTGCCAACCCTACCTATGACTTCTCCTATGGGCAATAATGAGGGATCAATTGGGAATCACATAGAATTAGACATAATCCTTAATGAGTCTAAATACATATACATGCTAAATTAGGGGATACAAAATTTATTTTTCAACTGTATCTATTGTCATGAGAAAGAGCTCTTGGTTCAGTTCGGCAGAACGTGGGTCTCCAAAACCTGATGTCGTAGGTTCAAATTCTACAGAGCGTGATTCCTTTCTCAGGCATTTTCCCTTTTCCCTCCCTCCTCTCCCACTGTAAGGGATAAGCCGGTATCCCTTGTTGAAGTCCAAACTGCCGGAGCACACGATCTGACATGTACTCCTCGCAAATGTGTCAACATATGAGATATGTGCGATACAAAGTAGTAAGATGAACAAAAATGCCATAATCTCTCTCCTCTTCAGTTTCCTCTCCCACAATAGGAAAATATAATTGTACAAAAAAATATAATTGTCTATATGATCTATGACAAAAAAAATATAATTGTACAAAAACATTATTAAAATATAAAGAAACAAAGTCAATGATAACTATTCTATACTAACATCATTTACCCACGTGTTATCGGTCTCCTGTCGCCCCACGAGAGGGAAGTTGTGAGAGTTATCCCATTCTCTAGGAGGGGCCTACCAGAGAGATCTAGGTTGCCCTGCCCTTAGTTCTTTGAGAATTGAGTGTTATAATTTGAAATGCTCGTACGCCCAACATTGAAATACATGTAAAAAAAAAAAGTGTTCCAACAAAAAATATCTATCAAACTTTAAAAAAACTATCAAAACATTAACATACTAGCATTACTAGCAAAAGAGTAGCTCATCCACTTAGGTGTTGTAACTATGACGAACAACTTTTGACAAGGCTCGAAACAAAAAATCTAGGGCAACTGCACCCCATGCATACTGACCAGCTACATCCTAATCCTCAAAAAGCTGTAAATATATTGTAGGCACCGTACCATCTGTGGAATCCGTAAAGATTGTGTAGCCAATTAGATATAAGAGGTAAGCACGGGTGTATCTGTTATGACTATGACGAACAACTTATGACAAGGCTCAAAACAAAAAATCTAGGGCAACTGCACCCCATGCATACTGACCAGCTACATCCTAATCCTCAAAAAGCTGTAAATATATTGTAGGCACCGTACCATCTGTGGAATCCGTAAAGATTGTGCAGCCAATTAGATATAAGAGGTAAGCAGGTGTATTTGTTATACGTCATTTTTGACATACTTGTATCCCTGGGGTAAATAAAGAGAGAGCCGGTAGTACCTTGGTCTCGTCGGTACCCAAGATGCCGCCAGACCATAGGAACACTACAACAATAAGCCTAAAATTCGGTGACCTTTGAAAAAATTGACAGAATGGCCTCAAATTACATGATGAGGTATTTTTGGATATCTTAGGGGCCGTTTGGGTACCTGAAAATTTATTATGTGACAATAGATTACAAGGAAATATTACATTTCCAATGTTTAGGTACACTTAATCATAAGGAAATGGAAATTATTACATTTTCAATGTTTAGGTACATTTAATCGTAAGGAAATGAAAAGAGATTATGCGAGATTTCCCCAAAAACCAAGAAATCCATTACGCGCTGTGATAGGTGAAAAATCTATTACGGAAGTGATAGGTAAAATCTTTCGCGTGCGTTTTTGCCTACCTTATGCCTGATTAAAAAAATATTCTCTTGTAAGCCCTCTTTCGTCATAAAAACTAACATAGGTGATCCCTCCCGTTTTAAGCTCATCCCATCATTTGAAGGCATCAATTGTCATATAAAAACAAAAATAATAAAAATAAAAATCAATAATCAATGATAAATTATACAACACAATCATAATAAAAAATTTCACACAACATAATCTTCATAAGAGATTACTAAAATCTCAATTGAAATAACTTACATCTTTAGTCTCCTCCAAGACCTCAAAATTTTATACTGCAATTACCAAACCTTCTAGTTTACTAATAAAACATCTTCCTATTTTTTAACTCGTACCATAGAGATTTTGAAATTAGTATCATAAACTTATTGTTTATTTGAAATTATATAGAGAGACATTTGAAAGACTTCTCCAAAAAATAAATAAAAATAAAGCTTATCATAATAAAATCTGTTATTCCAATCATATTGTTCCAATGACTTATCATGTTGAAACCAATGTCATGTTAGAAAACATGTGATTCCATGTAAGTGCCAAACGCATGTAAAATAAG